CTCCCTCCTGCGTGAAGGAGTGGGTCTCCCTGAGGGAGCGGGTCTCCTGTGGTGTGATCGGTACCCCATCTCTGTAATGATCGGTACCTCATTCCGGTGATGATCGGCAGGACGTATAACTCTCGGGATCATAAAGTACCTTTCAATGCGTGGTAACCGTCCCGCTTCTCGATAAGTAGTCGATGGTCGTCGACCTGCATTAAGTCACCGAGATACGCTTTGGCAACCTTGACAGGGATCAAGCGTGCAACAGTGGAGAGTTCGCAGAATGAAGATGGGAATGAGACTGCACACGAAAGTGGGCGGGGCTTAACATTCATAGACTGCTCGCAGCAACGTCCCTACGATCGAGGCCTGTGGATGGGATTCCGCAAAACTCGGAGGGCGGGTGGATGGGAGGGCTGCTCGCAAAATGTACAACGATCCATCTCGCAACCGGGTCAACGTATCTGCTTTTGAGTGGGTAGGGGAAGGGGATTCACACAATGGATGTGGGATATATCGAAGGGAGGGTTGGGAGTTGACAACGAATTCTCTCCGCTAAACGATCAGTCGACTCATTAAACATTCTCAACATTTCCGAGAACTAATTTAAGAATTTAGAAGAGTTTAACAGTCTCAAAAGCTGTGACAACACCAGGCAGCGGGCTCTTCTACAGGCTACCCACATGCTGCTGCGGCATCTGCCTAGCGCTAGGGAGTAGGCGTAAGTACACGCAAGCACACCAGTATATGAAAATCCCTCTGCCAGGCGTGGGTCTGGGTAACTTGCGAGCTGCCCCTGAGATCGTAGGGCTGTTCGTGCCTGCAGGATTGCGATATCGGTTGTGGTTCCTTTGCCAAGCTGGCATCCACTTCCCCTCTGTGAACAATATTTGAATATTACCGTTTTCTTGAGCGTTCGCTCTATGTCCCCATCTTGAACAAAAGGAAAGAAAATTGGATTACTTAGACTCACGCAAGAGTGGAATCTCGCCCTCGTCTTCAGCCTATGAATATTTCAAAATGTAATTAATCTTTTACTAAATAAGCTAGGGGCGAAGGTACACATTTTCCAACCGGCGACTTTCCACACGTGATGAGTGGCAAATAAGCTGAACTGTGTTTGCCTCAACCAGTAAAATAGTTAAACGAGGTGAAACTCCAGTTCCACTTTCCGCCTGTGGAAGTTGGATGCTGGGATTTGTGTATAAACCTACAAAGACTGGGATCCGTCTACAGGTGCAATGAAGACGATGAATTTCGAGTTGATATATTGGACGATCAGAACCAAGTTTTAAGTGTCAGCCCCCACCCCCGCAGTCAAGAGTCAAGGCCTCTTGGCATCTTCATCAGGAATCTTCGATGAGGAATTCATTCATTCATCGGAGGCGTGGTGCTGCTCGAATATCGCTGCTTATTGCTTCCAAAAGAGCCCACTTCAACATCTGTGAAGGTGTTGAAGTGTGCGTTGATTTGAAATGAATTGGAGCTGATGGCCAAAGAGGTACTAGTTCGGTACGTTTCGATACCGTTCTAGAGGCACCACGCCTCCAAAAGCGATTGCTGGCGAGCGAGATCGATCCAAAAAGTTAGTGCCATAATCTTGAGTGATGTGGAGCCATGAGTAGTTCTTTGTAGTTTTTTTTCCAGTCAACCGAATTAGATGTGATGGATTGTTTTTATTATTTTCCTTTGCTATTCAGCATTGCATAAGTACAAGGTTGATTGATTTCTGTGTACCCCATAACGGACATCCCATCGATAAACACGATCGGAATTGCCCGAGGACAAGAATTACTTTAATCTCCACGGACAACTGTTGGTAGTTCACCCTGATTATTGAGATTCGATTAACTGCCATTTTCATAAACGACCCGTTAATATCAGTACATCTCAGGGGCGAAAATCCATGAGGACAGAGGGGGAAACACGAAACTTTTATAGCGAAGACAATAATCGTAATAATAAACATGATGGTAGAATTACTTATCTTTATAATAAGAATATTTAATTAGCTCAATCGAGCTTCATTTTTTTTCTGCTCGCATTTCACCAGGCTATTTTCTCTGCGTGACTTTTCCGTCAAGCCACCGGTATAGACGGCAAGCATGCATGACCCATAAATTAATCTTCCTACCTGTTAGGAGTTTCCATTTGCTCAACGTAATAAGAAACCTCTGTTTACATTCATTTCCCACAAGAGGAGCAATGATTCATGAGCTAATTAAAGCATTGTTCCAGATGGGGTTGAGCGATAAGCGCCCTTTAATTCAAGGAAGTTCGGCTCAAGTCACAGGACGAATTGTTTGAATAAATCTCTGAACGTACAGGTTGCGACGAAAGCTTCGGAGAAGCTGTTGAAAGCGTTTAAATTTCAAGGTATCATTTCCTTGATGTGGCTTCCAGAAGTAATGGTGAAACTAATCGTTAAGAAGCGGGCGTGTTCCATAAGTCATTCTCGGAAACCTTTGCGAGTGTGAACATTTCCCACCCGGTGATGCCACCCCCAATTTTCTTGAACACATTCGATGATTCCACTTGGTTGGTTCAGAAGGGAGAAACGCTTTCCTGAGCGTTCTAGGAAATTGCTTTCATGAATATTCAACCGTGAAATTCGGTGGATCTCATCAGACACGATCAAGACACGTGGGAAAGGATGCGTGCCTTCCTCCCGCATGTGCAATGCGAATTCCCGAAGATAAGCCGATGAGCACTCGACGCGTTGAGTGTGTCTTCTTGAGGACACATTGGCGATGCAGTCAGCCCTGAGCACGAAGGGAATGAGTTCTTAGGAACTTTTATATCCTGTAGGTGCAATAAAGAACTTTTCGAGATCGGCAAATAGCGATCGAGTAGTATCGCCTTGAGACTCAGGCTGGACGCAGAATATATTTGCAGGAATAGAGGCTCAAGAATTGCCTCGTGACCGAGATCAAACAGATCTGAAGGTGAAGATTTTAGAAATCTCGTCAAGATAAATGTCGAAGTCAAATACGAATACGGCAGGCTATTATGCAGCTATAACCCACAGGATGTCTCGTGAGTCTCGTTCGATGCACAGCTTCTTATTTGCTAAAATATTTCATGAATTTATGCATGTATTATAAGAGTGATTGATGGCAATCTCCAGAGTGCCTATATGACACTGCTGTTTGTCCGCTGTTCGACAGAAAAGCCTTGTTCTCAAGAACATCTGGTTTCAGCTGGTACTCAGCTAATTCAGTCATGGAATTTTCGGACTGAAATTTCCTAAATCGCGTCGCGCAGAAGGAATTGTGGCCTCCGAGATCACCTGATCTAACTGCCAGATTTTTTCTTTTTGGAGGGGGGTTTCTCAAGTCCCAAGCGTATCATCAGAGGCCCAGAGATCTGCCAACCATTGCAGAAAAGATTTATGACGTGGATGCGGCGGTTTCATGAGGAAAGCTTGCTGACAATGCAATTTTTCATTTTTTCCCTGATCTACAAGTGGAAGGAAGGCGCATTGAACCGTTCGTGGAAATTCATCTGGAGTCAGTATTTACCTTAATTCCTATTCCGGAAGATTGGAATTCAGGCTCTTTCAGTGTTGGAAATGAAATTTCGGGTATGTTGAACGACGAAAAATTCTCTCCTGAGGCGCGATTTCGGAAACACCCTGTACATCTAGAGCGAGCAAGCGGTGCTTCCTCGAGTCGATCTCGAGATCATCTGTATCATGGCTTAGAGATTTTGCTCAGTGCAACAATTGATCGCTGGATTTGACTGCATTTTTCATTCATTACGCTGGAGTGTCGATGGACTTCATGAAGATGAACGAACCCGGAAAGGGCGCTTAAGACAGGTGAGATACGTCATGATATCGAACGTTTTGCATATCGTCTGATCAGCGACAGATATGCCAAAGAGAAAGAGGGATGATTAGAACGAAGGGTTGATCTAGTACTAAAGACAGCTGGAGTGCGTCCTTTGTCCAAGAGACAATCTTTAGACACATCCACTGCAAGTAGCTCTGAGTGATGAACTGTACTCCCAGGAAAGTATTCGAAGAAGACCGGGTATAAAAGCATCCGAACTTGGGTTTAATTACAGCCTCATCGAAGGGGAATCTGCGAATGACTATCAGACTCCCATCAGAATGATAATCGTGTTGCCTTTCCTGCCAATGACTTTCGATCACGTGATCGATCGAAGTCGATTTCTCAAAATAAGTTTACTTTTTTTACATCCTCAATACCATTTGCATCCTGTGGTGATGTAGAGAAGAAAAAAATTAATATCATGCAATCGAATGGGATATACTCTTTAGCGATACTTCTTGAGCTCTAATCTAAGATGTTTTCTTGGAATGCACATCCCTGGATTTCATTATAGCATTATAACTTCAATTTGATTTGTTCCAGGGTAGCGAATCTCGAGCAATCATGACTCGCCTTATCTCCGTGCCCCTTGACTTTTACTCTTCGTATTTTGCGAAAGCGTAGGTTCCAGAGTGTTTTTCAAAGGCTCTGAGGCCCCCCTTTCTATTAATAATATCAAGCAAATTGAGTAGCACCAATTTCTACATTTCCTTGACTGAAAGCATTTCCCGACAATCTCACAGTAGCATTCCGGAGTTTTAACAGCGCTCCAATTTAATCGAAGGCACTATTTTATTTCAAGGCTCCATAAAATTCGCATCCTCGGTGTTTCTCTGGTCATCATCCAATTTTGAACATATTGTCCCTCGCATTGGCTAGTTGAATTTCTGGGGTCAATCTTACTTCGTCCTCTGAGTTTGAAAAATCTCTCAACTTTTTGCACTATTCAGCCAAAGGAGCCATCCCCCCCCCCCCCCCCCCCCCCCCCCNNAAAAGCCCCCCCCCCCCCCCCCCCCCCCAAAAAAAAAAAAGAACTCTATGGAGTCTGAATGGTCATAAAACGATTCTGAGTAATGTAGCTAAGTCATTGTATTCCACGTGAAGCTCTTTTTATGCGCCCTGTTGGACAGAGAACCCATCTCATTGTATGAGAATGACTGCAAGGGAGTAGGAAAGAAAGGGGAAAAACTGTATTTCCATGAAAGGGAAGGATATCACAATGTAATGAGGAGGAGTGATGACGAAGGGAGAGAGAAAGTTAGATGTCCCTTCCTCTCTCTTCCAAACAGATGGCCTGGAATCCACCATGTCATTCCTATGGAAAAGAGGAGGCCAAGATGCAATTTTATGTCTGTTTTTGTCCCCTCCAAAGAGGAACCATAAATTGGGCCGATTATTACCCAGCCCTGACATCCACTCCAGGGATAAACCCCTCCCATATTTTATATTCACGTCCTCGTTCATCGAAACATGGGGCCCTTTAGATATAATAAGTAAGGAGGGAAAGTGCAGGGGTGCTGATCGATCGGATTGTATCTTCTATAGAGGGGCTAATTTCCTGCCGACATCTCGGTGAAAAGCCAAAGGAAGTCCGTCGATGCACTCAACGATGAATTCTCTGCTGTATTAGGAAGGGAACTCCGTTTGCCTGGGTCTTAGCACTCCGGTTTTAATTACCAGGGCAAACTTTCCTGGGGAAATAATTATAGAGAAGCAGAAAAAGCAATCACGCTCTCATCAGAGGCTATCTCCTCTTCTCTGAAGCGTGCCGTTACCACCCACTTCCTTTTCCTCCTATAAAATATATAAGTCGAGTCTGTTCCTGGAAATGTAATATTCTTTCTTTGCTTTTATGTTTTGTGCCACTGTCTGAAGAGACTTCTCGTAGACATCAGCTCTACTTCGCCGGAGGTAATGATTTTGGCGATTTAGAAAGCTATTCAGATATTTTCCTTGTTGCACAAAAAATAGCATCACAATTATTTAATGAGGCCTAAATAATCAGGAACCCCTTTTCCTTCTGCAAAGAAAAAAATAATAAGGGAAGAGAAAGGAACCTGTTATCTATATATTTTTTTACAAATTCGAAGATTTTGTTACCTACAATAAGCCTTTTGCTTCTAAATATGCTGTGTACGAAGTAAATTACCATATTGGGGCATCATACGAAAAGAAAACGTGTGAGACCAACATTTCAACAAAAAAAGAAAACAGAACGAGAAGGGATAACTCACATGTCGTGGTTATCAGCTGACAGCCGGTTCCGCGAAATTCACTCTCTTCTTAGATTCCTGTGTGACATGAACAGGCATTATAAATCAAGGAAACCGAATGATGGCATGATGGAATGGACGGCAAACGTACGGGTCTTTTGGCGACAAGAGGGACGGTGGGGGTAGGAGGAGAATAACTATATGCATCGTCGAACCCCGACGGGGGAGGGATTCGGTGGTCAATGGTGGCATACACGGTGCTACTGGATTCCAGACGTTCCCTCGGAACGCTCCTTCCTGGTCGGGGTAACGTCGCCTGGGAGTACACCAGCGGCTGCTTCTGAGGCCCCACCCACACATGCACACATACCCGCAAAATGTATATTTATATAAGAGAAACAAGAGAAAGCTTGATCAATCTTGCAAGTAAATAACGGCATTACGGTGCAATTCCTCAATACTTGTTGGTCAGATTTCTCAGCACTGAGAGCCCCGACCGCGAGTATTTTTGCAACCTGGCTCTTCTTTCGTCTGCGCTGCTGCCGCTGACGACATGAAATGTGTGTTCAGTTCTCCAAAATTCACATTGCAAAGCATCGTTCTACTCGTATTAATTTCTGATAACTGTTGGGAATGTCGATGGGAACTGTTGCCCGAGATGCCTAGAGGCCTGGGAGAAGTGATGGTACGTTTCATGTGAGCGTTAGCATTGCATAAGTGAAAAGATAAGCTATCGTTAGGTATAAAAATGCTCTTGATCGGAGCTTCTAGTGCTGAGAAATTTGACCATGAAGAAACGTTGCAAGATTTTTTAATGCATTATAATAATAATTATTATTAGATTTAAATATAATGGAGTTTTGAAGCATTTTTCCTGCATCGGAATTCTTGTTTAAATCGTTCAAACATAAATCCAGTAGAACTTTGGTGCAGTGATATTGGACTACTGGTAGAGAGTAGCGTTCATGAAGAGGAGGAAATGGTCCAACATATCTAAAAATTTGTAAGAAAAAGTCTGGCTCTCTTTTTTACATGACTCTCTTTTACAGAAGAATCTCCGCCTGTCGGCAACAATGAAAGGCAAAGACTGCCTGAAACCTACGATTACTTCCGAGCCTATGTATTCCTATGGTACGGACTCAGCGCGCTCTCATAGACGAAAGGCTTCACCACTAAAACAAATATACTTTCTAGAGACGTCTACAGGTCATTGGAGATGCCAATAAGCGGCCTCTTGCCGTTTAGGACAGGGGGCTCGCTGAAGAAAGAAAAAGAAATCCAGGGTTTCTATGAAATCTTCAATCACTTGCTTACTGTAACGTTGCATGACGGGCATCAGATTCCAGTACGTCTTTGCATGTGAATTGATACGGAATTAAGTATATTTTCTTATCTGGTTTGGCTGATAAGATTATCTGATCATGTTACGGAATAATAATATTATTCAGTATAAATTATTAGGGAATCGTATTACTTCATCATATGAAATTAAGTCCGCCTGGTTTGTGTCACGCATCAAATATAATCTTACTCGATGGCTATGAGGAATAATTTCAATGGACACGTTTCCCAGCCGTGAAGTATTGCTCTTGTTTGGAAATGATTTCTCGTACGCTCGAAGAGGAAGAAATTGATGAAGTCTTGTGCTTAGTACTTACATGAGAGTGTCTTTCATCCCAAGCCGCGACCTCGCAGCGGTTCAATGAAGTCTCTGCGCAGCAAGGCATGGGAGTCAGGTTCGATGACGGGATCGCCATATAGCCGGGCTCTAGCCAAACAATATATAATATTAAAAATATATGAAGGTAAGTCAGAAGCCCTGCTCTCATTTCCGGCTTCCCGAATATGGGCTTAAGCGCTGCTCTGATATCGAAGAGATTTGGTGGGCGAGAGCCAGGGGAGTTACAGTATACCAGGGGAATTAGAACCTAGGCTGAGAGAAAATTACCCCCTCCTGCTTCCCTAGTCATGGCTCATTATGAAGACGCGAAGAGAGAGAAAGAGCAGGGGTGACGGGAGAGAAGAACTTGAGGAAGCTTCAATTAAGAATCTCCTTGAATATGAATCAGTGCCCTCGTATGCAATCCTATATCCTGGTCCTCCGTCGGGGCCAGATGATCCTGCAACTGCTCTCTCTCTCTTTTTTTTCCCCCTCCCCATGCCTTTGTCTCTCTCTTTCTCTGTCTTTGTGTCTACAGGGAATGTCTTTCTCGTCGAATTTCCGCTTCTTGCGTCTTCGATTCCCCTTCCCATTCCCAGGCTGGAGGGATCTCTCCATTCATTCCCGTCTCTCTCATCCTGGATCGTACATCTTAATATTGCCGGAGTTAAAGGGAAGAGGGGACCTTCTTCCTCATTCAGTTTGAGGTCGAAGAATGTCCCGGATCTCTGATAACGCCAACGTGTGTATTTTTCATGATAACACATATCTCCCTGATCTATTATGTAGACCGAACGAGATATGCCGACTCAAAGAAGCGAATCTTTCCCCTCTGTGGAGTCATGCACGCAATGTGGTAGTTCTGCAGATGAAAGGTCTAGATTCGCCTCTTATATCACGCTCTCTTCCTAGCTCCAAGCTCAGCTGCGTGGAGGTATTTCGAAAACATGTCGAGGTACGGGTTGATGAACGATCTGTACTGCCTTGAGTCAGGCTTAATTTTTTTTTTAGATTCTTTTCCTTGGAAATCAGAAATGCTTTGCTATAGCTCACTTCCGTTACTCCTATTCGAGTCCCTCTTCGCTTCCTCGATTCGCAATAATAGGGCGGATGGTTCCCCTTCAGGAGGAAAAACCCTTTCCTCCCATTCGAGTCTCTTTCATGCTGCTTCCTCTACACACGAAAAGCAGCTCGGGTGCAGCCGTTCCCATGCAGACCCACATCCCCCCCACCCACACATTTTCTCCATTGCTGTAAGGTGTCGACTGCCTCCTTATGGGAAAATAGTTATTAATGATTGCGTCAGAAATTTAGAATTGCCTCGCGTGGCCTCTCTTTTCTCATATTCTATAAATGAAACTGAGATGGGAGTGCTTTTGCAATGATTGATTGAAGCCGCCACGATACCCATTCGCCTAGAAGAGAGATCGTCCTGCCCGTCTCGCGGACGGGGGGGCAAGCCCTCGTACAGGCTGTGCATGTTCTTTTCATTCCGTTCTCGAGCCCAATAAAAAGGAACGAGAGCTCCATTTAATTCTATATCCGCCAAGCTCAGGTTTCCGTAGAAACACTTAATAATTCCGGGTGATGTTAGGCACGGGTTCATGATGAGACAAGAAATACTCTGTCATGGTAATAAAAAAAAATGGCAAGCGACTGACACCGACCGTATTTGTGAGGAATGATGTCTGGATCTTTCTCCTCCATGTCAAAGTCTTCTTCTGGGACACTCTGGGCGCTGTGGAGAGGAAGACTGGTCTTGTCCAGGATGTCCGTGGTCGAAGGACCGCGTTTCCGGTTACTATGACATCCTCCACCATTTCCTCCTCCTCTCCGTCCTCGACTACATATTCGGCACCGTATCACCAGCAATATCACGATGGCCACCAATACCAGTCCTCCCACAACCCCCAATAGGATTCCCAATAGGGGTGTCAGCACCAAGTCCGTCACCTTCCCTACAAATGTCATAGGAACTGCAGATATTCACAAGGAAGTGTTCAAGCCTCGATCGCACCATTGGCATGCAGATGCGTATCAACAGTTTCGTCCGTTATTGTACCTGTTCGATTGGCAGCAGCCGCAGGTATGCTTGCATGTAGGGTGATTGTCTCGCTTTTGCCTTTGGAATTCACAGCGTAAATGGACAAGTGGACACCCTTGCCCGGTAGAAGACCCTTGACATGGAACACGGGATGTGTGCTGGAAATGTTCACCATCACATCTTGACTGTCCTCGTCTCGGACTTCAAGGATAAACGCCGAGGCGCTGCTCGGGCTCTCCTCCTTTTGGCACCGAAGCTCCACGGAGTCCGGCGTGTAATTGCTCAGAGTGCAGTTGAACGGCGGACTCGGTTTCCCTAATGGGAGCATGAAAAAAAGAAACTCTAAATCCTTCACCGAAACTGGTGGTTGGGGAAAGATGTGCGAAAACTCGGGTAAAGGATTAGAAAAGGGTGGAGCTGCCCCAAAAGAATCCCAGTTGGATTACCTGGCACTTTGCCACGGCCTAATTCTTGCACTCCAGACTGATATCCTCTTGAATAGCACCCTGTCTTCTCATTGTGATCTGGATTGGATTAAGTGTCTCTCCAGGTCAGAAGACACATGAGACTGGACCCTTTTTTTCCCCCCATGACGCTTCTTCAATCTTCCAAGTAACTGGATAGACTTCGATTTTTCCCTTCCCCCCTCCGGAACTAATCAGATTATTTTCTCGTATTTTATTGATGTCAATTAGGACGTGGGTCGCCTTTCTATCTCCTTCCTGGAATTTCCCCATTCCCGATAAACTTTAATCAAGGGGACTTGGGACGCGTATCTATCGCAGCGGATGGAAGGAATGGAGGAAGAAAAAGAAATATTCGGCAATATCTTCCAGCGTCCATCTCAGTTGTCAGGTCCAGCTGAATCCCCCCTCTCGATCGAACCCTAATGAAGACGGATGACGGCCACCCATAATGATCGAAGATACGCCGCCGTAAGAGTACTCTCTATATACATCGAGAAACAAAAAATGGAGGATCAATGCCCGCGCACAGCATCATTTTTCACGGTCCTTGTAAGTGTATGAAAAGGAAGAGACAAAAAAATTTGTACTTACTGATGGGTATGATATGGTAGATGCAGGGTTCCTTCTGGGTCCCAAGTTCGTTGCTGGCCCAGCATCTCAGGGTCCCGTAGTCTAATTCCGTCATTGGGATGTATTGAAGCAAGCTTCTTGCTCCCTGGGGAAAATACTGTACATGTCAAGTCTCTCTTAAAAATTGTGGTCCCGGAGCGGAGCTCGATAGCATGCATCCATTAGCCAGGCAAAGCCGGCGGGGCTCTTTTCTTTATAGACGCCATTGAAACGATAGAGAGGCTGCCATTGTCAACGAATGCCCCCATTGTCCTCGAGGGGGAGAATCGCTCCCATAGGACCTATCTCAGCCCATCCAACAGATAGCGATATAGGGCCATGAAGAGGGAAAAGAAGGAGATAGGGGTAAGCCCACCTCGATTGTGAATCGTTCTTTGGGAATTTCGACAGAATCTGAAGTGTTGTTGAATCTCCACAAGAAGTTTGTGGCGGGGGGGACGGAGGCGACGAGGCATTGGACCTGGGTCTCTTCAAGGACTCCGATCCGATACACTCGCTGTCCCTGCTCCTCTGCGCATACTGGAACAACTGTGATCAAGAAGTACCCGAGTGCATGAATTCACAGAAAAGGACACATCTAGGCGATCGTATGATAGATCATTACGCTGACTCAGAAATCAACTGGATGAAACATAACCCAATTAAGAACCTCTGTTTTTTTAAAGCAGCACATGATAGCTCTGATTTTCTTTCTTTCCGGTTGTTAGCTCAAACGAACCTAACATTAGATTTGGAAAAACGGCTCCCAGATAGGGTCTTTTTTCCATCTGTCTTTAGGGTGTTTCTCTTCCAGGAAGGAAGTTCATTAAGAATGCAATATTCTATGATCAGATAATGATGCAGAAAACTTACACTTAACCAAGAGCGCAAGGGAGTTGCTGATCCCGGTGCCCTCGGTGTTCGTGGCCCTGCACGAATAGTCCCCGGTCCGACTTCGATCAACCCTTTGCAGGACCAGGCTTCGATTGCTGAGGATCACCCCTTCACTCACGTTATGCCCCAATTCCTTTCCCTGCAACGGATATTATAGGCCATCCATTCTACCCAGACCTTAACCAGATCTTCGGAATTACCCCTCGCTCTATCTTCTCTATATAGGGGATAGATCCCTGCTCCGCATTCTAAAGCGAATCCAGGGCCACGTGATGAATGCATTTCACTCTATTCCCAAAAGAGGAGAAGTTTATCTCCTAGCAATCAGGAATTTGCGTTACCATGAGGGAATTCTCTCCAAGTTATTCCATAACTAATTCTATGAAATAGGATATGGGAAAGAGGTTCTTGAAAGACCAACTCAACGATAAATGCCACAACTTGTAGCATTCGTAATGAGTCTCGCTTCTTTCCCTTGGGATAGAAAGACAAAACTGAAGGACAAAGAGAGAATGCGAGATCTGCTTTCCTGTTAGATCTAGTTCTTGCTCCGGCTGTACAACATGCCGAGTGCAGTACACGGCAGCTATTAACAGACAGTAAAGCTGCACGATGCCTCCAGCAGATGTAGCATTGCCTCTGCTGCACTTCATGCTTCACTGCATTCGATAGTAGATTTTCCATTCAGTCCAGCATGCTGCGTCCAACTGCTAAGCAAAAATTTCCTCGCTGCATTGGAGGATTGTTGTCCCGCAGCTGCACATGTTGGATTGCGTTTTTGAGGTACAACATGCAGTTACAGTAGTCCAGCATGCTGCACAGCACGACTATGACGTCAGGAAAATAAAAAATAAAAAGAATGGGTTGGGAAGCGAAAGTGGAAATTCTTTTCGTAAAGCGATCCCCATGATAACCTTGGCAGAGGCTTTCAGGCCTGTCAATATTCAGACAGAAAACCGTTACATCGCTTCCCAGATGCTCTCTCCAATACTTTTCCCTATTCGATTCGAAGCAGGGGGGAGGAAGTGCTGGCTGGTAAAGAAATAGGGTCCTATAGTGTGAGATTGGGCTTCCCAGTAGACGATAACAGGGCCAATGAGCCGGGAATCGATTGGAAGGAAAGAGAAAAGCCTCGCCTTCTATAGGAAAGGACTGCAAGACCAGTCGTCTTTATTGGGCAGAGAGCAATCTCTCCCGGAAGACGTTAACAGCACCATCGAAGTGACAGATGTCTCCCACAAAACTGAACCTCTCCTTTTGCAGAGTGAAGGGCTCTCAACGACCATATCCTCGACACATGATGCTGCCTCAGTCTGTTGAAGGAATAGAGGAGACCGAATTTCATTTGAAGATCTCAAAGAAAATCTCGAGGGGATCAAACGTCATGCACTCCATATAGTCTCATTTTGTGCTGAATGAGGGAGACAGAAGTAAAGGATCAATTATTGGGCGTGGGGTGACAATGAAGTGTTCTTTGCTCGTCGGTCCGTAAAAAATACTTCCCAAATGTGTTCCAAGTTGCTGAATTGCTGGGATACACGCGTCTTTGAGAGAGCGGTCATGTTTGTGCTTCAGACATCCAGAGTGTTTGTAGATAAAGTAAATAACATTTTGCTTTAGGAGGCTTAAATGCAAGAAACCTTTGCTTCGTAAAGAAAGGAATATGGAGGCTAAATATATAAATGGAAGGAAAATTTTGGCTTTCCGCATTTTTTCTATCACCTCCCGCGCGATCAGCTGCAAATCCTCCTAAAATTGGATGCAAATCCTCTTGAAATTGGCTGAATCCTCTTGAAGGTGGGGTGAGTTGTTGCACCTCAGAGGAAAATCTTCAACAGAGTCCCAAAGGTCTCCTCAGGGAATGGTCTCCCTTTAAATGATGTCATTAACCTCCCTCTCCCTCCACATTCTTCTTTGATTTTTACATGGGCCAAATAGATAACTCTAGGAAACCAAGACCGAATCTTCTCTTCGGTCTTCGGTCTTTTCGGTTCGAATCGGTCTTTTTTTCTCTTCTAAAACCCTGTCTGTTAAGTCTATAGAGGGAGATATCTTTGTGGGGATGGGCCAGTGACCTTAATGAAAGACCATTGTGGTATTGCATGGGATCGTTTTCAATCGCCCATCAGTCGTACAAAACAAGAAGGAGGGGAAAAAGAGAAGAAAGAAAAGGAGAGGGAAAAACAGGCGACAAAGGGGGAAGAGGCAAGGAATTATTTCCATGTCAGATCGATACCGGATAAGGACGAGGTGCCGAATTTCGTCTCGTTTGATTGCTCTTCCATACCGCGCGAAACCCCTCGACAATCTTTATTGGAATGAAGATTTTCGGAATTTTCAGGCTTTGGTAACAGAATGAAAGGAATTTCAGATGTCACAATGATCAACGAGGAGTATGACATCCAGAAAGAACCAGACTCATATTCTAAGCAAATTTAAGGTTCCCCATCCGAAGGGGAAAAGACCATGGGTCTTGTTGCATAATCCTTGCCTTTCTGTAGACGTCTGTGTGGCTATTACACCCCTTTCTAGCTGTCTGTTAGGTTATTTGCGAAGATGACAGTTTCATGCGTAGCTAATGAGGAACATGCACACAGAAGATTGTGATACCATCATTCTTCAACTTTTCCATCTTCCATCTACTTCCAAGAGTGCGTTTATCTTCTCCCTGAATGAGTAATAAGGATTTTATGTATGTCTTCGAGTTCTCTTTGGTTGCCATGTCCATATGCATCCTCACACGTTCCATGCGGAAATGTAGTAATAACTTAATTTCATTATTATTCTATTAGTTTATTTACAATAAACTAATTAATTATTACTATTTACTATTATTATTATAGAGTTACTAAAAAAAATTACTGAAGCTACTTCAAGTCGGTTAAATGAAGGACAAAACCAATCGATGCCGAAAGATCCAATATGACATATTTGGCTACATCCTCCAATCCTCTCAAATAAGGGGATAGGAGGGACGTAGGAGGTCTTCACCTCGAAGTCAAGAGAACGTGGGGAAAAAAAGACGAATTTTCCACAGAGGTAGAGAAAAAGATTGAAAATAAACTAGCTTTGACGGGAGGATGGAGAGCGGGCCTTGTAGGACATGGGGAAAAGAGATATCGAGAGGAGCCAAGCCTTGGGAAAAAGCGCCCAGAGAGAGAGAGGTAGAGAGAGAGAGATGCTCATGAAATATGCAACTCCTTATCATCCATCCATCCATTCCTTGCCAGACAGAGAGGGAAAACTTCTTCCTTCACGGATCACACCATCATAGAGAGGGATTTTTGTGCATGCCTGGTTGAAGAGGAAATGGGTTTCTCCCTCCCTCACCCCCCCCCGCCCACTTCCTTAGAGCAAGGCAACTTCTCCTTTTTCCACGCATTTCAGTCTCTTCTAGACCAGAGGAAGGGGAAGAAGATATGGTTATTCTTTCTTGGGTTGGACAGACATAAATTCCCTTTTCCGGCCCAGCAATTTTTGGCTGGGAATTCCGTATGCATGAATTCCCTGCACCCTAGATAGTGACAGTGAGAAACCGTGAATCCCGTTTCAGCCTTATCCATCAAATTTCGCCTGTTCTGACATGAAGCACTACATCGAGCGAAAGGGTGAACATTTTTATCTGACATGCGGCCGTCGTAGCACTTCCCTCTCTACACTCCCTTTATCATATTAGCGATCGCCAGTTGAGCAGAGGACAGAGTTGAGTTCTGGTAACTTTCAAAGATAGAGATAAATATAGCTCATGAATAACTCTCACTTTAGATTACATTTCAATAAGTTCCTCTGCGAGGGATATCACCCCGAATAATGAGACGGGCATCATGCTGGGTAGTCTCAGCTGGGTGTGCATTCGTTGAGCATAATTACCCATCAGTATAAGGCGTATACCCTCTCCTGTATGAACATCTCTCCCAAAAACATCATCCCAAAATCTCTCTCTTATCCTTAAATATTATAGCCGTTTCGAAAAAAAAACCTCAGTTCAAGCCCTACACGATGCGCCCGAAAATTGGTTCTTGTTTCCTTGAGCTACCAACGCTCTCGCATTGATGGTTCTTGTATAACTTCAACCAGTTTTACCAATAGAAGAGGGATGATCGTCCATGGGATCGCTTAACTAGCAATCACTGGAAGCGATCAACGAGCGATTCACGACCATCGTCCCATTGAACCACGTGGGTCGCGAGTAGGGTTCACGCTGAGGACACCTTGAAAGGTCGCAAACTTTAAGGAAGCGAGAAAAGCAATGAGGATGCGTATTGATTCGCGCAGAAGAACGTCGAAGCCAATTACTGAAGCGTAATCAGCAAGTTTTCGCAGCTGAGACAACATGGCGTAACGACCGGTTCACGATTTCTTTTTAACGCCGTAGGTAATAGACTTCAGGATATCTGTTGAATGTATGCCTTTCATAGCATATGCAAAGCATTGTTACCACACAGTACCATACATGAGCATATTTGGTGAACATCGGATATGAATTGCATATGGCGTGCTTAACTCTGCAGTTCCTATAGTTTTACAACCCATTTGAATGTAATACGGATCGTTTGCCAAGGTTTACGGCTTCATATCCGATCAAATATGCAGATGCAGGTGCATCTTACACATATTGGAAACCCGAAGGATGAATAGTCTCTCATGGGATAAAACTAGCCATATTCAGGTTTCCATCCCCCAAATGCATTCATGCACTGCTGGACACAGGAGTTCCATGAAAGAATTCCCCCCGGTCTCTTCGACGTGGTTCATACGAACATTTAAGCGCTTCTGTTCGAAGCCAATGACAACGTCCAACACATTCCGTGACTCACATCGTGGAACCAATAGACGTTGGGAGCAGGGGGGCTGGCTGAGACGAGGCATTCGAAATACACGTCTTTCCCCTCTTCGATCCCCTGCTGGAACTGAGACTCTTGTAACGACCGTCCCAACTTCAACTTCAGCTCAGGCACGTCTGCATTAAAAAAAAAGGAAGAACTTTTTTATGCCGGATGATCGATCGATCGAGAGAGGATACAAAAAGGAAGAGAGGAAGGCTCTTATGTACAGTCGACTTCAAGAGTCCAATGGTCTTCGATGGCACTCAACGGGATGCTGGGATTCTCAGCCCGGCAGGTCAGGATTTTCCCTGAGTTTTCCTTCTCTGCCGCGAATTTCAATGTGCTTGTCACTGTGCTGCCGTCTCCAGCCGTCTGATCGCGAAGAAAATGGCGTTGATCGACCAGATTTTTCTCAAATGAAAGGGGGGCAGAATTATTTTCTCACCGCTTCCTTTGATTCGCGGAGCCGTTTGTCACCGATCCACCAGGTGATTCGCGTATGGGGTCTCCCACCGGCGCTCTGACACACTAGCTTTTCATGTTTCTTGGCCGACACCCGCGGAGTCTTGCTTAAGATGCTCACTCGGACAGGTTTGACTGTTCGGGACAAAAAATTCAAAGAACATTCAAAATACTATTGCTTTCGAGAGAGGGGAATCGTGTGCTTGAGGTGGTGGTTTTCTCATTGAAGGCAATTTGTACGTCTCTACGGTGAGGGGTTTCTTTCTTATTCATAACCTTACGTGCAAAAACTTGTTCCGAGGATGGCGCTCAATAACCAGTTCGAAGAAGGAACATAATATTTTCTTCTCACTCCAAAGGAAACCCACATATTTCCACGGGGACGTGTGCTCAATCAACTCCAGTGTTTGCGTAGGACAGCTCATCATTTTTGGTGAGGGTTATTATGGGAGAGCACCCATGTCTCTCCATTCGATCACTGTGACTCATTCCCTACCCTGACAGATCCCCAAACGAGGAAGGGAAATGGAAATAAGACAAACTGAATCTTGATTAATGATTGCTCGTTCCCTCCCCGATGAGGCGTTTGCGTGACAACGTTCGTCTTTCTCCTGATACATCATCATCATTACCACAGTCATTACCCTCATCGGTTCTGGTTCTGTTAGCATATGTCAGCGGTAGGCACCTTTACTATGGAGGGTCGTTTACTCGAGGCATTATTCAGGTCCAGGCTCGTCTATCCCCTTCTGGTTAAATACAACAGGCCTTGAGTGGTCCCAAAAAGTTCCACTTTCTGGCACGTGATGGGACTGATCGTGTGAGAACAAAAGAATCCCGACACCACGGGAATCCTCTCCCTTGGGACGTAGGTAAATACACAAGCTCTGTATTCTCTTACGTCTTGTCTTTTTTTGGCTTGTCTCATGGATGTTGACTTTCATTCCGGCGGGGCCAAACCGAGCCTAGGGAGAAAAGGCCCCGGCAAAGATATTGAATTAGCAGAAAGTGGATCGATCTCCTTTCCCTGATGGTCCTTTTCTCCCCCTCCTTTCCTTTCCTGCTTTCGTTTCTCCTCTCATTGCTCACTCCTCCCTTCGTCTCGGTTTCGGTTCCCCGATTAATCGACGGGGTCGCCCGGGGAAATTAATGGCCACCATTATCCCCGCTTCAGAGATGCCACCAGACCAGATTCCCCCTCTTTGCTCTTCTTCTCAGTAAACGCGACGAAATGGGCGGCATCAAATTCCATTATCGCCCCTAGAGATTATGACGCAGCCGTTTATACCCGTCCTCTTAATCCAGATTCATGTGGAGAGAACTCACAGTTCATGTCGAGAGTGACGACGTGTCTAGCCGGGATGGTGATGTTGTTATTCTCGGCCCGACAAGTGAATTTCTCCCTCAAGTCCGTTCTGTTGAGGTCCTTGATCCTTAGCGTGGCCCGGACGATGCTGTCCACCGTGCGTGTGGTCGACGGCAACTCCCGCCCTTCTCTCCACCAGCTCAGTCGGGGAAGGGGTACGCCTGTGAAAAGGAATTTCATTAAATCCAAGGCAATAGGAGGGATCAAAGTGAAGCAGATCTCGATTTCATTTCCTTGCATATCCCCCTCAGGATTCCTGATGAATAGATTAAACCCAGGTTGTTTATATCGGGAGTTATCTCCATGCAGTGTCTGTAAAGTCGATTCTAGTCTAAGTTACCCAGACTTAGCGTCGCACTCATCAACAGGACCTCAGGGTAAAGAACACAATAACCCTCTTTTGGTGGATAAGGGGATATTGGAAGCTCATGAGATATCTGACCCAGATTGAGAGCACACTAGCGAGTACTTGTAATGTGATCGACTCTGGATTGTCGGTGAAATCCTATTCACAAACCACGAGCAGCAATATGAGGTATAACGGATACCCCGTGTTAATGATAAATGCGGTCCGGGAAAATAAATAAGCGAGGATTTTTCCGGATTCCGAGAACATGTAGAATCTTCTCGTGTTGTGGGTATTCAAACATGTCCACTTAACATCGCATCCAAACTTCACCACAACCTCCTAGTGTCTCGTTGTTAGGCACTGAATGTAGTGTGTTCGCAAGTTCCTAGGTGAACTCCACTAAGTTGGATTACCATTCAGGCATATCATAATGCAAGCTGATTATCATCATATTTTCATCCTTAGGATTACTTTAATCCTACTTTGTAAAAGTTCAATTGCAAGGGCTTCTTTTATTGTTTGTCCTAATTATTTTCACTTATCTTCCTGTCAGACTTACACATCCACATTCTTGTCTCTTCTTTAATTATTTGCTCTTTCGCGTATTTATAGAAACTTTACTTTCATTTACGGGATCCTCCTACTCACCACTTGAAAACGAGGAATTCTTATCTTACCTCCTTCAGTTTGACAAATGAGGACCAAGTCGTCTCCCTCGTTGTAGGGGCCCACGATGGTATCCACTTCTTGTCCCTTTGCGTCCAGGATTTTCGGAATCGGCGGGGGAACTGGGAGTGGTGAAAAACGAAAGAGAACAGAATCAGGAAATAGGTTTACAGTCGTTGCTCGAGATAGTCGCTATTAATGCTCAGCATACAAATACGTCTTATCCGTCCGTCATAAGAGAAGAATAAGAAACGAACGGAAAGATAGAGAAGAGGTAAGGTAGGGTTGCATTTTTCTGTTAACTTAGTAGCAAAGAAAGCCCAGAAAAAAAAAAGGAAACGGGAAGATGATCGCTTTCTGACACCATAGAGCCATTATAGTCCATTTGAATCCCGGAGCACGTACGATGAACCACGACCACTTGTCCTCCTTCATAGTCCTCCTCAAGCCCCTATAGCACGCAGTCACGAAGTCATTTCAGATTTTCCCTTGGGAGTGGTGCATGGCCGAAACGATCGCCGACTGCTTGCATGGAGAGGTGCTCCTTCCTTAAAGAAAATTAACCTGAAGAAGCGCGAATGTTGGTTTCAACCGCCGCACTAAATCGAGAGCAGGTCTCGACTTGTCTCTTTCACAACTATGAACTTTGGCTGAAATGCAGTCTTTTCTTCATTTCTTTCACATCTGGACATGAGCTGAGGTTCTCATTGCGACCTGGATCCTCTGCACTTCTGCCAGCCATGTATTCTCTCCATCGAATACCAATAAATCAGGAACGACTCGTCCCATGTTGCTCACAATAACTACAATGGCAAAATGCCAATGTTTTTTATTTGATCTTTTCCATCTTCCTTCAGATTCCCCCTGTCCGCGGGAGGTAGTGGTTGGCATTTCCCTGACTGGACTTACAAGCATGTTCTTTTGCGTGCTTGCTTCGACCGTAAAGGATTTTGACTTTTACCTTTGACATTTTATCAATGGTGTTTACCTTTACCCTCGCTTCGACTGCGGCGGATGCCGAAGGAATGTAAATCAAATCATGGATAATGCTGCGTTTGATTGAGTTGTGACTAGCTTGGGCAATGGATGAACCCGAGGAAGTGAATCTCGTCGCATGAAATAAGATTCTCAAAATAACATCGACCAGACTTCGTCAAAGAAGCACGAAACGTCGGCGGAGAAACGACGTGTGATGATTGAAGTCTCTAAGAGGGGAAAAAAAATGCAGGTTCTTTCTGCGAGTCTGAGCGACTAATGGTATCTCATCTAGCGGATCGGAGAGATGATAGCGCTGAGGAATGACCCAGGAGCGTTCTTTTCTCCTTTAGGAACCATCCATTAGAGGGAATCGAATGGAAAAGAAGTCTGAATGTGTCTTCCTAGTATGATGAAAAGAGAATCGATCCCCTGCTTGCCTCGCAGGGACATTTTCCCATCGTCTTACCAGGAGGAAGAAGGGAATTCTCATACGTCCTAATTCCTTTATGTCGAGGGAGGGGATGCAGCTGATCGATTTGAGTTTCCGGAGTCGATCTATCACAATCCTTTCGGGACCTTGACCCAGCATTAGTGTATGAGTAAACTATCAAAAGCACAAATAAATAAAATGTGAGTAGATAAATATATGTGGTAAAAAGAATGTGAAAATATTTCAGCATAAAAAAATCAAAGAAAATATACAATTGAAATGAGAGAACGGAATCACTTTGTATCTTGGACCTCGCAAATGAAGGTTCATTGAATAGAAATTATGAGATACCGATAACAGTGAGGTTGACCAAGGAGTTGCGAGTGGGAGAGAACTTGAAGTCCACTCGACAGCGGTAAATGCCCTGGTCTGGCACTCTGATGTCCTCCAAGGTCAAGGGCGTCTGCCGATCCTCGGGGCTGAAGGACGCCCTTCGACCTAAATACCGCTGGTCCGCCCACTTGTTAGCATTGATGAAATCTCGCCCCCTCACGTCGAACCTGAGGGAAGAGAAAAAAACATTAAGGGAAAAAAAGAAAAAACAGACGCGTCTTCTGAAGGGAGGAGAGAGAGCAAGGACTTCGATTACCGTAATGGAAGAGGAAAGAAAGAAGAAGAGAAAGGGAACAATGGCTGGGCAGGAGAGTTTGAAAGCCTGAGAAACAAAGGCCACGCACAATGGCCAAAAAGAGAAAAAGGAACAGGGGGGTAACACGTAAAGAAAAAAAAGATTCCTGATATAAACAACGGTTAGAGTAAGTTTATAGGCATGTCTTCCAGTGCCTGCAGCCTGTATGGCCTCTTCTTCCCCCTTCCCCCTAATGATCACTCTGGCCAAAAACACAACAGTCATTAAGATTAATGAATCCCCTCTCGTGAATGGAGGAACTCGTTTTCTCCTTCATTCGTTTCTCGACTAATGCTGGATCGCCCTCTTCCTCCTGACAACACTGATGGGAGTTCTCTCAATCAATTTCAAGTGGAATACAGAAAATAGTATATTTATAAGCAATGAGACCTCGAGAGCTAATTATGATGCAGTTAATCAAAACATGTTAATGAAGGAAGGAGTTTCATTCGGCTTACGTGTAGAGAGGTGTTTTGATGTCGAGTCGGTACCATAAGACGAGTACGACTTTATCCCCCGGTGCCGGAGGATATAAATCACAGGGCATGTTCACTGTCCCCCTCTCGATCACCATCACTTGCTTCGGCGGACCTGAAACGAATGCAAGTGACGGGAATGTTTCAACGACAAACCATAGCTGATACCAATATTTACTAGAATTTTAGTTCGATTTCTCATGTGTGACGCTTCGCACCTTGGGATATCGAACCGCGAAACAGCAGGACACATTTAACAACTTTAAACACCAACTATAGATGTCCTCAACCGGTCTAGTAGGAAAGTTTGCAGTGATTTGATTGCACGATTTTGAAAAATCGTGCAATCATGAATCAAACATAAAGGTTGTAGGCCTTACAAACTTCTCTCTTGATCGGCTAGACATACCTCGTGGTCCTATCTTCCGCTTCTTGGTATTGAAAATTTCTACTCTCCTGCGACGAATGTGGTCGTAGGGAGAGTGTGGTGAGGAAAAATCTTTCCATGCCGGTGAAAGTTGGGGAAAATTTTTTAGAGCTCCACCATTGTCATGATAATTTCGATTATGTACTCGTCGGGGCTCTATAAAATCCGTGCTGCACCAACCCACTTCATGTATTGATGCTACTTTTTCTGTGGAAATTGCTGCGTCATCGCCGATGGAAAATTGAGTGAGGCAGAGGGTCCCATGAGGCCTCCTTAAAGTACCACAGTGCTGCTTCAGCTGGATGATCCAGTGGCGATGCAGGGGAATACACCAGATGCAAAGGACGAATATTAAAGGGGAAGCTTCAGGAAAGCTTGCCATCGGCGAAGCCCCATGAAGTCGGAAGATGAAAGGGGACATTGACGTCTTGAAATCCTGTGTCTATACCTGATATGTCATTTTGCTTGCCTGATGGGAATCTAAACTGGATGTAGAAGGGGCAGGAAATTGTTGAGGGAGGAGCTAGGAGCACCTCAGGAGGAATTCCCCAGAGACTTCTCCCCTCTCAAAGGGGGAAGGCTCCCTTATGAAGACAGGAAAGGATGATGTTATGAAGGATTCCTCTTTCCAATACTGTCACCGGCTTCATAAGAAAAAAGACTTCCCCATCTCCCACCCTTCACTTTTTTCCCCCTGCATATAAAGAGGTGTTCCAGAGCTGGCCCTTCTGCGTCAGCAAAATCCCTTCTCGACCAGGGCAAACAAATCCTTATACGGATCAATATCCTCTCTTTCGTCCCGAAAAGATGAATTTCGAGTTCATGTGACGATCACATGATACGAATCCGACTCGTTCCAAACTCATAAAATGAGGCCTCTCGTGATGAATTTCGAGCAAGCTCATGTGACGATCACATGATACGAACCCTACTTGTTCTAACTCATAAAATGAGGCCTCTCTTATCGTTCATCTGAGAGCATTTCTATGACAATGGCCGACAACGTAGTTACCCCAGAGAAAATGCCTTCTTTCAAATCGCATTTTAGTATGCATGGTGAAACGGCAATGGGACTGGGGTTAGAACCTTGTCAGAGACTGATTCGATTCACCCTCAGAAATCTCAACTGAATCTCGCTTCAATGGACACAAAAGCTCTTTGAGAGCCAGATGATCCAATTGTCTGAAGTCGACTCGCATACGCACACACTAACCCGTATGTGCTTTCCTCCCTCGGCTCTCCCCCTTCATATAACACGTGTCAAAATCTCCTTTTGTGTCAGGGCGTAATTAAGATGTCGTCGAATAAGCGTGTCGAAGGAGAAGGAGGGGAGGGAAAGGCGGAATATATGGGAGATTCCGATAGCCTATAGGCCCACTATATATAGTGTATGGAAGGGCCTTCCGCAGGGTAGGATAGATCGATGGTACATCCATCACGAGGTGGAAGGAGAGAGGAGAACCGAAAGGATATATCCCCCCTCCCTTTTCCCCTTAGCTATATCATCCATACTTCTGGCCATTCTCGTTTTGGCCGACCTTGGACTAGTTGTCTCTCGTTTTCCACTACTTGCCTTCAATCTTCTCTTAATATCTAGCAATGATAATGGTCTAATGATATTAGTTCGTATATCCTCTTATTTTCCCTTCATTGCGCGTTATCCTGTGCCGGGATGACGGCAAATTGCAAATCACAGGAACTTTCTACATCTAGCTTTCATATGAAAGAGCAATTTTTCATCGCAGTAGAAAAGGATGACGAGCATGACTTTATCTCCTCTTACAGGCACAGAGAGTGCTCATTGAGTCTCAAAGAAAAGGACCAAAAATGAAAAAATCAAACGTCGTATTTTTTCATTTTGAGTTTCTCTTTTCGGAAACTGTCTAGACTGGAGATTCAAGAATGCAACATATGAGCTTTTTAGCCATATATTAATTCTTGTCTTCACACGTTGAATTCTTCGATTATTCTTTTGGACTATACAGTAAACATCCATTCTTTAATGGAAACGTTTACTTATGTCGCCATCACGCTGGTTCTTAGTTCCAACTCCTGCAGTTCATTTGCTGGCTAACTTCAGTAAAGTCTACAATAAACTATATGCGACATAGGAAAAGGTATTTTAAAAACTTCCTTATTAGTCCCAGTTAAGTTCCAATTCTAAGTTTCAATCCTGTTTTCAATATTAGACACATCTAAATGGTCGACAATACATTTTGGCTGCACGGCTTGCCCCTTTAGTAAATAGATACCCACCAGAGCACATAGAGAAACAGCCATGACTCTGCAACTCAGTGAAAGCTGTTCAGTGAGAAACTGAGCAGGAAGACATGAAAGAAAAGTTTGCTGAGGAAAGCTCTACTTTTAACGTCCACAGCAAGAAGTTACAGGCCCAAAGAAAAATTCGTCTCCGAGGATTCTCCCTTCATTGGGAATCCTACACATTCCTACTCTTTCCTCCCTCCCCCCCCCCCCCCCCCCCCCCCAAAAAAAAAGGTAATAATAATGCATAAAATAAAATAAAAAAGTAATGAAATAAAATAATAAAATATGAATGAATAAATTATAAACAAATATATATATATATAAATCCTTCCACGGCACCCTGCCGGTATTGGAGATATGAGGGGGGATGAACCACATCCCAGACCTCATACTCGTCTTAATTCTGAAGGACACGGCGAAGGATGCTGGCCGTGCCCAAGATTGCTGTACGCTGGAGGATATCGAGTGAGATTTCACACTCCAGCTTCTTGACATGTCCTTTGAAGTCTTTCAGGACGACGCCAGTAGTGCCTATGATGATCGGAACTATGGTGGTCTTCATTCCGCACAACTGTTCCACTTCCACTTTCAGTTCGGAGTATTTTTCCAGCTTCTCCCTGGTCTTCTCTTGGAGGTTGTTATCGGCTGGGATGCTCACATCTACGAGGAGGGCGGTCTTCTTCTCCTTCTTATAGATCGTAAGGTC